ATTCAAATAGTTCTTCATTATCATCAAGATTTAATTCATTCACTTTGTCTACAAAGTCCTTCGATATCACCCATACCCAATAATTTACTAATAAAAGATTTTGCTTTGAATGGTTCTAAGTTACGCTGAGAGTTAAATGACGACGAGCACAGAATTTGAAATGGAATTTTCAAACCTGTCGTTTGATACGTTTAATGTTAAATTGAAAACTCGTCAGGTGTAACAAGGCAATCCTCGTCTTCGTGATTGAATATAATTCTAACGTGATGGATGCTAGGGCTAGTCGAGTTCGAGATTGATCAACTGATAGCGCAGCTACGATACTCGTCAGGTGTAACAACGCAATCCTCGCCTTGGCGATTGTGATCCTGTATGTATCGTCTTGAAAGCCCCTGTGCTCGAGTCTCCAAAGCAGAAAGATAAAACATCGATAAAGCACACACATCGTTCTCGATGACGTTCACCGTGCATGCAAACGCACGCCGCTGTGCCATTGACAAGTGCCGGGACGAGCGACACATGCCTTTTCCCCTGCTTCTCCTCTTCGGTGTTTGCATTCTTATCTGGTGAATTTTGTGCCCTATCTCTTCGTGGCAAGGATCGGAGATCGCGGCCGGTTTCGCCTTTCTGTCTATATGAACGTTTAAGACATCTATTAAAATGAAACATCGGGGCACAGATGGAGGGGAAAGGAGAGGAAGACGAGGAACACGACTCGACTCGAGTTGAGAGTTATTATTAAATCGTATCGGTGTTGTATTTTCGTTATTTCTTGGCAGATCGACACCCTTTCGTTGCCTCTCGCTTGAAAATGGTGTCCTGGCTGGCAAGGCAGGAAGGTAGGATCGGGTCAGAAACAACATGTTAAATGCGGTCAAGGAGCTGGAAGTAATCGGGACTGACGATGAGTCTCGTAAGCTTCTCGAAAGCTGTCTCATAAAACACAGCACGACAATGTGAGCAACGTGCCGGATAATAATACGACGTCGTATTCTGCGCGTATATTCTATACACCTTTACTTACCTTCTCGACGTCGTAAAACTTTCTATCTCTCCCAATAACGATTTCCACGATCTCCCCTTCGCCGATCAGAGACTAGGCACCGTTGCCGATTTCTACCTTCCTGTTCAACGCAAAATCTGAAACTGAAAAATCGAGATAGTTTATGAGACGCGACAAATCGCTACCTGTGTGTTACTTTGCCATTTCCCTTGACGTGTGCAGTGTCAAAATCACTGATAGATGATGTGTTTGATAGATATTTTCAAATTTCCATGCGTCTACAGGATTAAAATCAAACAACGCGCTATCTATTATCCTGGTGATTCCCGTGTGTCTATTTCCATTAAGAAAGTATAAATTTTAATGAAGAAGATGCAACTGAAGATGTCAGTTAATTTTAAGTCAGCTGTATTACGTTCCGATAATTTTCTTAATTTTATAAAACATTTCATAAAATATGTATATATGTAATAAATAAAATATGTATATATAAGATAAAAGTTTCCTGAATATTTGTCGACGGCTCGAGTTATTCGTAGAAATAATCGTATCGTTATTGAGCTGGTTGAAATGACGGAAGAATTTCATTTGCAAGCGACTGCATTAGCGCGAATGTGTATCGTACCAGCTTTCCGCAACGTTTGTTTGTTGGGCGAGCGTTTTCGTGCGGATAGGTCATGATATAGAAACGCAGATATTGTAGAAGAGTCGAGGAAAGTGCTTCCTCTGTTTGTTTCAACGGACAAAGGCGCGTTACATGGAGAGAGAGAGAGGGTGTCGGCCTGTCGTTATTCAGGACAGACAGACAGGACAGCCTAGAATTAACTTATTCCGTTTCCCCGTCACGATTACGTTTCGATTCGAGGGACGGCCGCCATTTTGTACTCGGTTAGAAATTGAATGGGGCTGTCGAGGAAACGCGGCCGTGCTACTTCGCCTCTTTGCTGACGCGTATCTTAACAAGTAAACTACTTTGAAACTGAGTCTAGTCACCTCAATTATCCTGACACGCGTATCCGTTCTCCACTTCCTTTTCCGTTTCTGCCTGCGTACGCTCGAGCCGAGTTTCCACGTCGATGAAACCAACAGAGATATTAACCAGAAGGAAGAATAAATAAACAAAGATAGGTGTCTGGATTGGCTGACTGGTCGCTTCGAGGTAATCGGTGCAAGAGTGAACGAAAAAGGAGGATAGCTTCATCGAGGAGTCATTTTGTAGCAAGCGTGACAACTTGTCAAGCTATTAATTTCCGTGTTTGTCAGGCGCAGACGCGCGCTGGTTGTCGAACAACGTCTGCGTTGCGTTTTATACGCGCAGGTATTGATGCTTCCTCGACGCTGGGAAGCCACGAGCGGAGTTCTTTCCATCCAGCGGAGAAAAGCAGGCACGATCCTCTGGCCTTCGTGAAGCGGCAGACTCTGCTGCTGTCTGCGAGGGCGCTAATGACGATCGATTGTCCCGTCTTCCTCTACGTCGACCCCTCTTCTTCCCCGCGCCTTCGATTTTTGTTTCTAACTATTTATAATGTACCGCGATCGCTCGACATCCGCATATTTGTCGCGGACGCTTATTACGTCCCCGACTAAAGGAGATATCACATTTCAGCCGACCTGATACCGATACCGACCGGTAAGACCAGTTTCACGCACGCTCGTCTCCCTTGAAAGAAGACGAATACACTCGTACACTCGTCTCGATTAAACTTGCACGCCGTCGGTCACAAATTACACGTACGTGATATCCTTGAATGATCTCGATTTGTACGCGTGTGTATCACTGTGTTGAGCATCGGTGACGTAGTTCTGCGTCATTTCAAAGTTGAAATTAGCTTATCAGACGCTTGTATAAATATACGAACAATTAACAATATCGTTGAATATAGTCGACAGTGTCAAGTTTGCAAAAGCGATATAACACTTGTATTGGTAAGAAATTTTTCATCAAGTCATATGTTGATTATTAAAAAAAAAAAAGAATACTTTTACAATGGAGGGAGGAAGTCCCCTGGTTCAAACGAAGGAATAAGAAGAAGCGACAAACAGTTTGATGGTTCTACCTAGATAACAGAGACGAGCCAAGATGTTTTTTACATTCACAGATGTACGAATAACAGATGCTTTTGGAAATTATACGGTGATTGTGTTCAGTCAAACGTCTCCCGCTCTACAATTACCGTTAACACGTTCCGTGCCAAGCGATTTTTGCCTTTTGTTGTCGTTCAGGCCATGTCAAAAATGTTGTAGAAAGCACACATTGTAATTTAACACGTTCCGTGTCAAGCGATTTTTGCCTTTTGTTGTCGTTCAGGCCATTTGATTACATCATCAATCGATAAGTAGTTCTCTTGTTTAGAGTAGCTATCACATCCTCTACCACCTGTGGTAATATCATCATTAGAAATATGGTGGTAACACGTGGCCTGAAGATCAAGTTTAACGTGTTATTAGAAAATATGGTGGCACCTGAAGATCAAGTTTAACGTGTACTACCGGTGGTACACATGGCACGGAACGTGCACGTAGCCTGAAGATTAAGTTTAACGTGTACCACCGGTGGTACACATGACACGGAACGTGTTATATTA